CTCCCCCCCCCCCCCCACACACACACACACACACACTCAATTACTCGCAGTGTCGCTCGCTGGTAACACTCAGCTTGATGTATGTATATTTTACGTGTCTTGTTTCTAAAAAGTGTGTCAATTCTTACTTGTTAATGAAACGAAAGCCACCAAAACAAAAGCTAACTAAAGGATTTGGATTATGAAAAAAAAATAGTTAAAAGCCGTTATAATACAAACGATGAGTTCATGGTAATATAACTATAAGTCTGATATTTCTGGTTATACAAAATTACAATGGTAAACTTTAAATCTTCTTGATGAAAGTCATTTTATCATTTTATGCACTTGAAAAGCATGCAATAAACAAGTAGAACTAACCTTGTTACCAGACCTGAAGATAAAAGAAAAATGAAGAAAATAAACAATTGTGACGGCGAATACATGCACCCATCAGGAAAGTACGTCATGCACCTTGGCTATACAGAGCCTCGTTTTCGTGTATGTGACATTAGTTCAACCCAAGCGTCGCAATCATGAGAACGAGGCTCGATAGCCAAGTGACGTACTTTCCAGAAGCGCGTATTAAGGTCTTTTCAAGATTAGAAATTGAAAATGGGATATGGAAATAAAAAATTCTAATGGTAATTATATGAACCATCTAACACAGAATACCGAGAAAACCAGCCTGGTCATTAGATTTTCCTATTAAACACTCTATCACAAGTGCATCACATTTCAAATTGCATGTCTGAGAATTTATTTTTATTGTCACGTGATCAGGTTTTACCAAATAAACATGAACTAGAAATACATGCATGCAACAACCCTTCGCACAATTTTCCAAATATTGTTTCAAAATGAAGTATTTTTAATTATGCGAACACTGAAAGCAGGCTCGCGCTGCTCGCATCATGCCGTCATGTTAGCCATGGCAATCAACACGATTATTGTTTTATTTTATTTTTTGTGCAAAACGGCAAAAACAAATTAATGTTTTACACTTTTAACTACAGGACTACCAATTTTTAAAATATATAAAGTAGATATGCTATTTTGTATTCTATGGGCATTATTGCAATGTAAAATTATATTATTGCGCTGATAGTCATTTCGCAGTGAGTGATAATATTTGTGTCACTTTCACTTCTAAACAAATTATGTGCTTACAAATTTTAAAAGAAGTATGCATGCATGTGCCATTATGACACACCATGCATGCATGCATGCATGCATGTAGTCGTTTAACGTCGATTCTACTTTATTTTGATTGTGTTTGTAGGAAAAATATCAAATTGTAAAAAACTATATATTACTTCATGAACACTGCGGCTGCATGCAACGTTTATAATAAATTGAGTTATAATTATACCTGTTCCAAGCCATGGATGAAGAAAAGTGTAAAACCACGATTTAGTAATATTCGTCTGACTTGACAGTAATACCTGCATTGGTAGAAGTATTTCCATTAAAATTATAATAATTATTATTATTAGCATGACAGATTTACTGGATGCTGATTGGTTGAGAGGAGTACAATTATTTCATTAATTGTACTGCAGTACAATTAATGATTTTCCCAAAACAAACAAAATGGCGGAAAGGTATTTTAAACACAAGCGTGAAATGAAATTGCAGTGGAGGAACTAGATGAAAATACGAACAAAAGCACCAAATTTTGCTTTAACAAAAGAACTAAATGAAAATACAAACAAAAGCACCAAATTTTGGTTGAAAGTCTGGCAGGACTGGGCTTTGGCGAGAGAATATGATGTTGACATTGAGAAGTACGTATCCAATTTTGTCATGCTAATAATAAACAAGTAATCATGCGATGTTGCTCGTACAATTAGGGATTAATAGTACTCGTGATGTTTGGAAATTTGCCAAATTGGACTCATCCCGGCGGCTCGTCCAATTTTGGCAAAATTTCAAACATCACTCGTACTATTAATCCCTAATTGTACTCGCCATCGCATGATTACCTATACTTATATAATGGCAATCATAAAAAAAAGCGTGGAAATTTTCTGGAAAACCCAGAAAACCAAAGTATGGAAATACTTTAAATTTCCCAGAGAGTATATGTTCAAGAATCAATTCCACCATAACCCAATGAATCCGTGCCGCGTAAATCGTGATGAGTTGCAAATAATTCTTCGACTTCTTCTAAAGTTTTGCCCTTCGTTTCAGGCAGAAATATGAACACATATATCACAGAAATAAGACAGACGGCTGCGTAGAACCAGTAAAGGCCATAGGGATGCATCGCATTCTCCATGTTGACATAAAATTTGATTATGATGAACACACCTAGCCAATTAACCTGAGTCGCTATACCGCTCGCTACACCACGTACTTTGGTTGGAAAAACCTCGGACATCAAAAGCCAGGGGATTGGGCCCATGCCCAGGGAGAAACCGACTATAAAACAACACAATGATAACAGGGTAATGCCACTTGGAAATCCGTCAAAATATCGCGACGCTCCCAAAACCGCCATACTGATGCACATCAGAGCAGTCGGAAACATTAGCAGTTTTCTTCGGCCTAGTTTATCGACAATCAAACAGGATATACCCGTTCCTACAACTTGCACGATAGCGATGGTTATTTCGGCTACATTGGCGTCGCTGATGCCAGCATCGCGCAGCATTTGAGAGGCGTAGTTAATGACAGCATTGATTCCCGAAAACTGTTGAAACAGCATCATCATAATGGATATTATGAAAGGACGATAGATCGTAGGCTTCATGAATTCCCTCAGCAATATTGGTTCGTCCGTTTCTAAACCAAAACACAATAAAGATCTCAGATTTAAATTGGTACTGCCAACAGGGTGTTTCCGAACGAGATAGGGCGCAATAGCTAAACCAGGGTTTGTACATATGAGGAAGAGTCAAATTCAAGGACAATTCAAGGACTTTTCAAGGACATTCAACGCCGACTAAATACTGAAGAAAAGGCGTTAGAAATCAGTAAAATCTGACGATGAATTGTTCAAAACGCAACTTTAATGAGTTTCAAACAGCGTTGTCAGATATGAACATGCAAAATCAATTTAACAAAATGTCCGTTTTGAATGTCAAACAAAATTTTAGAAAATATCCAAAAACTTGTCGTAGAAAGTATAAACAGGTTGAGAACTGTTTGCGGGTTGAGACATTTGGTAGAAAATTTGTTCATGAAAACTTTCATGGACAGAAAATATTCGGAAAATATCATTGACATTGTTAAAAGTTGAAATTTTTCAACTTCAAAATTTTTTACCGACGGAAGATTTGTTGGCCAATCACATTTTACAAAATTTTCTTTCTACGAAAAATTTTCCTGAGTGGAAATGGGCCTTTCAGGCACATAAAAGCACTACCAAAAAAGGCACTACTATGGGGCACTACTGGGGAAATATTTTCTGGGAGCTCAAAAATTATTTTTCACCCCTGTAGTTCCACACAACAATATATCATCTTCAGACGATGGAAAAATCGACTACTAAAAAAAACTTACCCAAAGTGCTCTGGATTTCTCTGCATTCATCCTCACATTCTCCATAAGATGTTTTTCTCAAAAATACCAAAACTTGACAAGCTTCACTTATTCTACCATTTTTTATCAACCAACGCGGTGTCTCTGGGAAACCAAACATCAATATGGCCATTACAGTGGAGGGTACGGCACCGGCGATGGCTAACCAATGCCAGTTCAAGCCTGCGCCAAGACTGAAGGACAGAAGAGCTCCCACTGTCACGCCCAACTGATTAGCACTACCAAGTGTACCTCTGTACTTGGCTGGCGAAATTTCCGCAATGTACAACTGAAAAAATATCACAGTATGTGGAAGTTTATACCTTATCTACTAGCCTCCTATCACAGAATAGACACACACAAAAGGTCAACTCAGCTAAAAAAGATTCATCATCAAAATGTTGATGCCATGGTCCTAGCCAGTATGCTTAGGCCAAAAAAAAAAATATATGGGTTTCCAGTTTCCCGACCCTACCTAGCTTTTGGACGTTGAAATCCCGACCCTAAACTTTTTTATTGGATCATGGTTGTAAGTGTTTCCACTTAGAGGGAAAAGTTTGTGGAAAATTGAAATTTGAGGCAATATTAGGGAAATTTATCTTTGGATGTGGAAGCACTGACTAAACAAAATGGCGTCCGCTTGTTCGGAAAATTAAAAAAAAAGTTTAAAAAAAAGTTAAAACCGACCTACCCTACCTAAGTTTTTATAAGAAGAAACCGGAAACCCACATATTTTTTTTTTGCCTTATGAGAAGCATTCACCCCCTGGACGTCTGCCATTTTAAATATTTTCAGGGGGGTGAATGCCTCTGCTAAGCTAGACATTCCAACTGCTGGAGGTAAAATTTAGGGAGACTGTTCAGTGAATTGAAATCTTGTTCTTCTGTGAAAAAAATTTAAAAATTAAGCCTTCTGAAATGGCGTTAATTCCTGCATTTTCGGAACATGTTGTTATAAGTGATCCTATAAATTGCCATAAAGTAACTTCATAAAAAGGTCAAAACAGACTATTATGTTGCTAAAAACAGTATGTTTATGATTTTTTTACGATATTTCCCAAATATTCTGAAAAATCGGGAGAATTTGATAAAAATCGGGAGACCAGGAGATGGCATGAATTTTCGGGAGACTCCCGGTAAAATCTGGAGAGTTGGAATGTCTGGCTAAGCGCACTGGCTAGGACCCCATCAGCATTGCAACAAATATGTCAATATCATAGGCAAAACTAAGAAGTCGACCTCACATGTCATTGTGTCTCGATCTATTCTGTGCTCTTATTTCAAGTTGTGAATTTTTCACTCACTGGAACTGTCAAAGATATCGCTCCCATGCCAACACCAGTTATAAATCTTCCGACATAAAAGAGTGACAAATCTTTTGCCGCAGCGACCATGATCCAGCCAGCAACAAAAGGCAAGGAACACATCATTATGTTGAACTTGCGGCCAAACTTTTCAATGGTGTAGAGGCCAATTAAGGCACCCAACATCGCACCAAGGGCTGATATTGACTAGAAAATATTTAGAGCTCTTAATTTTAGACACAAGTTTAACTAAAGATTTGACCTCTGTGAAGTGCAAATATGTGAACTTGCCCACACTGAGACGCCGGGGCCGGGAGAGTTGGCAGGTCTGTTAATGGGTTAACTGGTAACTCCACTTCGCTCGAAACGTTGCGATTCTCCTTATATTTTTCCGGCAGAGTAAATTAATAAAGTAGGGTGCAATGTAACTCAATGGGTTAATTAAATATTGTTTTTTCTGCTTGCCGATTGGTCGAAACCATATCACATGCTGGTCCACAAAACGTCATGTTCATGGCATGTGAATCCAGAAAAGATTTGTCTTCTGGATTGTCTATGCTGCATGCTTTGGCAAGGAGGCAACCGGACAACAAAACATTTATTAACCGGTCAACAATCTCAGTAAGTAAGTGTTGTAATATAGTATATAACTGTCAAAGTATGAATAATTCACCGGTTATATTTGTAGTGAACTTAGTTTGAAACCAAAACTGCATAAACTGTTTCCCTCGGTCTCAGTAAATAAGTGATACATATTTATTAACATAATATTTACTATGAATATTATTATTATTCCATATATTAAAAATATATTTAAATGAAATGACCTCAAAATATACTCTAATCAAACTTACATTAAACCATGTCACTTGTTCGTCACTCCAGTTCAATTTGTGTTTCAAATCATTTTGAACAGGAGAAGGGTAGGCTATCACATATCCAAAAGAAACAGCACCTAGACAGGCTGTTAAGGATGCGCAAAGCACAGGCCTTGTAAGACCTCCTCCATCTTCAGGTGGCCTTTCCACCGGAGTATATTCTCTATATTCACCGCTCTGTATGATAGATTCTGCCGTTGTCGAGAGCATTTTTGAAGCGCAATGATCCGGTGACTATTAGATTAACAGGAAAATATATTTACAGTCGATTTTATAGCGAGTATTATTTGATTTATTTCGTCTGAGCACACTAAAGTTTCATATTTTGTAACTTTTGTCATGACAGTCACGTGCAAGCTCAGTTCTTGTTTTTGTAAGATACTTCATGGTCTTCTAAATATAATGATTTGGCGCAAATGGACATTGTGGTCAAAGAGGATAGATCGGTATTTTCTTCTTTTTTTTTGGGGGGGGGGGGGATTTTTTAGCATTTTTCTTTGCTTTCCCTCTTTGCACATTTTTTTTTCTTTTGTGTTCCTTTGCGCCAATTTTTTGTCGTTCCCCAACAGGCTTTATAGCAAACTTGTCAACAAGATGCAACCATGTTGTTAGTTTGTCAAGTGGTTATAAAATTCTCACTCACAACTTGAACACATGCTGACAAGTTGTTGAAATGGAATTGGTACAAGTCTGCTGCATCGAACACTTTCTACACTGTCAAGTATGTTTCTCAAATTGGAAATGAATATTCTTCTTTTTTCAATTGTAGTTTTCCGAAAGCATTAGGCAAATTACAGTTACGTTGGCTTCTTAAAAACATTTCTCTAATATTTAAAGAATTAATACTTCATTAATGAGCACTGAAATCAAGGAAAATAGCACATGTAGACGTGGTATCGTTGTCCTGAATACCACGGAATAGCCGTTTATTGCTGGTACAATAAACTCTTTCTCATTTATATATGAATATTATGTCACACGCTTCATGTCCATTGTCTTGTTGTCGTCCAATCGTACATCAGTATCTCTCTTTAGGTCGCTGCGATTTTAGGTGCGATTTCATCTTCTGATGCATGTGAACACAGAGTAGAGACATACAGAGACGTAACTAGTGTACCCACTTTTTTTGTGCGCATGCTCGGCAAGTTACTAGATGCATGCATCTGATTGGATGACGACCTGATGACGACTCACTTTAAACTTGCTGAGCACGCGCAGTTGATCATTTTTCGCCCGGTCGCATGAAAAAAAGTGGGTACATGATAACGTAATCTTCCGCAGTGTTTACAACGGTCAGTTACGTCTCTGTATGTCTTATCTACTCTGTGATGTGAACGAGCGGATGAGGATTTATATATAAAGATTTTGTTGGCATCTCACTCGATTCAATAATAGCTGAAGGTTCTTTTAGATGGATACATGAACTTGTGTTCAGAGCTCGACAACAGATCTCTGTAGCTCAGTTGGTTAGAGCACTGCGCGGTTCCTGCTAGGGGCGGTTTTTCGGTATCAATAAACACGTTCGATCATCTACTCATTTAGTTAGAGACACATATTTAGAGAATAAAAGGATGTCTAGAACATAGATATCATATAATACACTAGATAGCGAATCTCTTTTACTGTTTTAGTAAAACTGAAGCCAAGAATATTCCAGCGGTTACCCCCATTTGAACAGATGGCGGCCATGTTGGTCGTTCCCACTCGCTAATAAACACTTAAAAATAACAATAACTTTCATCATTTGAATACTTTTAAAATGTATTTGGAATAGAGTTAACTTAATATTTAAGTTCCCTGCTTAAGAAGCAGGAAATATACGAATCTTCTCTCATTTCATGGGAACGACCTGAGACTGCAATCACGGCTTCAATTTTGGAATTGCAGAATAATTAGATGAACTATCTAGTGTATACAAGATATCTATGGTCTAGATTAATTTTTGTTAGTGTGTTATATTACATATACTCAGAACATTCATATAACTCATCTACTCATTCACATGCAAGTGATGCGAGAACGGTCGACGGGCCTTTACTCTTTAGGCTTTGTTGTTTATTGTTAGATTCAATTCCTTTTCAAACTGTCGCACAACGCGATGGTTCATGAAAAGAAGCTGCAAGAAACCATGATATAGTTAGTGAATTAAGTGGATACTATATAGATGGGGAAAACACTTCAAAACAGCTCAATGGTTTGTGCATCCCCCTTTTTAACTGCATGGGGTTTGCATGGGGTTCAAATCCTGCAATATGTTGCAATCACTGATCTATTAGATCAGTGGTTGCAATATGTAACTATCTGTTTATACCTGGCCGCAAGGCAAAAAATGATGAATAACTGCCTCGATTCTGTCTGGTTTCAACAAAACCTGAAAGAGAAAATTGGGAACAAGTTCAGGTAATAATATATACTAAGGTCATGCCATTGTAAGGCACTTGGTTGAACTATTGTCAAGCGCGAATTTAATACATTAATGTTCTGCAACTCACTTCATATGGTTTTTCCAGCATGTTACAATGTTGTTCTGCAAATTTCACAATGTTTCCTAGAACAGTTTGAGCTGTCACTCTGTTCTCATATTTCTCACACACCATTGTTACACCACAACTAAAACAAGACAAGTATTTTGTACCTGTATTTTCTATAGTAATGAAGTTTCCCCTATATGTACAAATTTTATATAAAGATAGATTTATATTGATGATGTTGGGCTAGGAACCTACCAGAAACCTTTACAGGCTTTTTATTTAGGCTCCTAGTTTTGTTCATATTATGAAAATAAATTACAGACATTGGTTCAAAGAATAAAAAAAAGTTTTTAAAGTATATAGAACAATTTACAAATTAACGAAGGAAATGTGATGTGCAAAACAAGACTATAGTAGCCATGAAGACATGCAGTTGACATACAATACGTTTACATCACATGAGACATGGACACGTGGTACAAAATCAGTGGCGTAGCTAGCCTGACTATTTACTCCTGCTATGCAAATATTTCTGTGTTCATAGGCTGTAAAAACAATGAATTTCTAAAGAAATGAATAATGATAATGCTTTGAAATTTACATAGCAGGAGTAAATTTTCAGGCTGGCTACGCTACTGTACAAAATTGGTACATGACTGACTAGACAAGTAGAAAATAGTTTGGAAGTAGCTATGACTTGCTGTTGGCAAAGGCCCCTTGTAATAATAATAGTATAATATTGGATTGTACATTTTTAATAATTTTAATATTTTTACTACCGGTATAGGCATGTTTGTAAATAGTGTTCTTATTTACTAACTGCTATTTAAGCTGACACTCAAATAAAGTTGTTAGGCCAAAGAAAAAAACCCTGGGTTTCCTGTTTCCCAACCCTACCTAACTTTTGGCCAGTGAAATCACTGATCCTAGTCTTTTTATCTGAAGTTTGCAAAGAGTCTGGAGCAATTTGTCGTACCCATAATTAAAGTATAACCCGTTTGTTTCAAAGTTGATATAACATCTAAGGAATGTTTGTGTCATCTGTGTTGTCGTAATTGACGTAGAATATCACTCTCATGCATGAGCATTTATAAGAATAAATTTAACAAAAAAGAAAGAAAACCCAACCTACCCTACTTATAACTAATATATTTTTGCAACAAGCCCCAGGTATTTCTTTTCTGGCCTTATTATTATTAGTTGATAGTGGCTTATTTGAGATGAAGTCAAGTAGCTGTCATACTTGTTTAATCCTTTCCAAATAACAATTTTCTCTGTAACAAATGGCTCACCAGGATACAGTCTAGAGCAATTAATACATTAGAATTAATTTACAACAGTTTATATAAGTTAGTAAGGCCAAAAAAAAAATATGTGGGTTTCCGGTTTCTTCTTATAAAAACTTAGGTAGGGTAGGTCGGTTTTAACTTTTTTTTTAAACTTTTTTTTTAATTTTCCGAACAACCGGACGCCATTTTGTTTAGTCGGTGCTTCCACATCCAAAAATAAATTTCCCTAATATTGCCTCAAATTTCAATTTTCCACAAACTTTTCCTCTAAGTGGAAACACTTACAAGCATGATCCAATAAAAAAGTTTAGGGTCGGGATTTCGACGTCCAAAAGCTAGGTAGGGTCGGGAAACCGGAAACCCACATTTTTTTTTGGCCTAACCTTCTTTCCAGGAAAAACATTTTTTTTCAAATGTGCAATGAAGAAGCCTAGCTGCTTCAAAATTAGATCTAATGTATTCCTTACTAACTTGAATATTCCAGATTTCATGACAGATAAAAGTCTAAAATTAAATATAAAATTTAGCAAAACAGCTATTTGAACCATATACAATGACATATATTCTCATGACTAATAACTTACTCATTGCTTGCTTCTAAGTCGCTAGGATTTGAAATGGATCCCCCTACCGCACGACGGAACGAATACTCAGACTGAACTCTGGAAGCCACATGTGATAGTTGTCTCTTACCGACTTCCCTTAAATCTTCATTTGTGCTATCTGTTGCCTGAAAATAATGCCAAATAACATGGCCATAAGTGTAAGAATTATCTATGAAGTCTTTGTATAAAACTCTGTTCCTATTGGCAATGCACCAAGATGTGTCCTACTTTATTATTTTACTCAGTCTAATGCCAGACAATTTTACTCATCAAGGGGAGAGTGCCACTATTCAATGGGTAAGGGGAGCGTCGTTTGTGGGGGAGAGCAAAATTTGTCAAGTTGGGCACCTGGTTCTTATTTAATCTGCTGCTCTTGACCAGTTTGCAAAGTAGGCCAAAACTCTTTGAGATCTTGTGCAATGCAAACACATTGTATAGTGGCATGCATCATTGATAGTGGAAATGGACAGGTATTACGATATGTGTGTGCATACCTATTTGTGGACATTAAATATTTGCTCGTTTGCCATAATTTACATTTTTATTTAACAGGCAATAAAACAGCACAATTTCCAATTACCCACTGGTTTTTGTCATTTAGTTTTCATTTCCAACTTTTATTAAAGGGGAAGTCAAGTCCGTAATGTAAACAAATGGTTTGTTTACATTTTGAACTGCTGTATTTTTTAAAATATGATGTACTGTCTGAATATCTAACACCATTTTGGTTCGCTATACTTCTAAATGAGTATGAAATTTGGGCAATGTTCACATTAGAGGTCCTCACATTGTTATGAGCAGAACCGATGTGAACGGACTTGACTTCCCCTTTAAGCACTTTTTCAAGCAATTTTTTTAATGAGGCACAATAAAAATTGTGCATGCATTCAGGGTTTGAATTAACAGATATCGCATCTATCTGTTTTGGGGATTTCGCTACTCATTTTGCTATACAGTGACATAAAAAAAATCACTATTCAACCTGAGAAGATTTCATATGTGAAAAAGTAAAATGGATAACATTGGAAAATGGAAACGTTTGTTTTCAAACAATTCTTTGTGTATTTTGAGGTGAAACATATTCTCTCATTTGCGCTAATATTTCTCAATAGACAATAGAATTCTGTTGCGTTTCCTAATGCTTAATCTTTCTTATTATAACACTAACAGCCTTTCTGGTTGAAGGTTGAATGCTTAATCCTTTTTACTGCATATGCAACACAGTAATCACTTAGTAGAAATTCGCTATTCACTTTTTATTGTACGAGTCAATGGGTAGAAATTCGCTAGTATTCACTTTTAAATATTTAATTAGAACCCTGTATGCATTGCCACGCCACAGAATAGGGACAAAGAGAAAAGTTAATCGACTTCTTGGTCTTTCCTATGATTTCAGCATTCCTGTAATTCATCATCAAAATGCTGATGCCACAGTGGCGTGCTGGCAGGGGGGGCCGGGGGGCCACGGCCCCCCCAGCTGGCAATTCTTGGGGGGCGCAAAAATGAAAAGGGGACGCCGATCCCACGTTTTGAAAGTGGGTGGGAAGAAACGCATTCGAAAAAATATAGTTACTAATTCCGCCAAGGAAAGATGTGTTTATAGACTTATAAACAGACTAAGCGCATAGGCGGCAAAGTGAGTATATTAAATTGCAGACTATTTTGTCTAACCGTATTTGCTACCTCACGACTGACACGAAATCACTCGTTCATATAGAAACACGATCAGTGATCACACGCAATGTCTCATTACCAGAATATTGATCAGGCTTCGAAGCAATCACGGGAATTATGCCCTTTTTTGCTGGTATTATGCCCGAATATTATGCCCTTTATTATGCTTCACAAATCACATGAGCGGCACAAATTAGATAGTTGAAGTTATAATGTAAATTTGTGTACGCAATTTAGTTGTTTGCGCAAGAAACATCATGAGTAATGTAAGCAATGAGATATAATGCTGAAACGTGCCCTTTTGGCAGCCAGGCAAGGAAACCTTAAAATGCATATGCGTGTGGTCCGTGTGTTATTGTATATAAAAGGGCTGTAAGTTGTCAATGTATTCAGATCACTAGATCAGTAGAAAATAGAATTGGAATTAGATTAATTGCTGGAAGTAGTTAGCATTGCCCAATTTAAGTACTACCACTAAATTCTAACCCGTTTCCTGACCATCAGATTTCTGTCAAATCTTCCCCCCAAAGTCCAGGAAATGGCATTTCAGAAACTCTAAATTCAAAAATTTTCCGGGGGGCATGCCCCCGGACCCCCCTAGACAAACCTCGCACCTGCGGCGCTCGGCTCTTCGGCCCTCGTTTATCAAGCGTAATAGTATAGGGGCGCATTTTGGTTGCCAGTCGACTGCCCCCCCCCCCAGAAAAATAGTACCCAGCACGCCACTGTGATGCCATGGTCCTAGCCTAGCCAGTGCGCTTATGAGAGGCACTCACGCCCTGATAAAATTCAAAATGGTGGATGTCCACGGGGTGAATGCGTCTCATGAGCGCACTGGTTAGGAGCATGGTGTCAGCATTTTGATGACAAATCATAGCGTGGCAGCGGTTACGGTTTTGTGGCAGAGTCAACCTTCTGTATTCTCTGGCCACGCTCTTGAAACTTGTGTGATCAGGTTGACCTGATCCAGACTGCAAACTTGCAGCGCAATTGTTCATGCAAAAATTCATGTGCGCAAAATTCTGTCCACTTGGCCTGTGGAAGATAAAAGTAAGAAGTGTTAAGTGCCCAAGAGCAAGTGTTCGATGCGCATAATTTTGCAAAATAAAATTATTCTGTGCGTATGTACTTTCAAGTCCCGTCGGTAGACAAAGGGTTAAAGTTGTAACAAAGTTTCCAGTCTGAGACCTTTGCCAACCTAGCTGCAAAGCAATATTGTAGACTTATTACAGAACCATCCTCAGAGATATGAAAAACTAGTTTCATATTAATCTGACACTGCAATCGAGCAACGAAAAAATTTGTTGGCTCGAGCAGGATTTGAACTTGTATCTTCGGGTATCTAGACCACCACTCTACCTATTGAGCTATCGAGTCAACAGGGATTGGTAGCGAGTCTTGCAGTGTCAGATTAATATGAAACTAGTTGTTTTTTTATTGTAGATAGGGCCAAAAAAAAATATGTGGGTTTCCAGTTTCCCGACCCTACCTAGCTTTTGGACGTCGAAATCCCGACCCTAAACTTTTTTATTGGATCATGCTTGTAAGTGTTTCCACTTAGAGGAAAAAGTTTGTGGAAAATTGAAATTTGAGGCAATATTAGGGAAATTTATCTTTGGAAGTGGAAGCACTGATTAAACAAAATGGCGCCCGCTTGCTCGGAAAATTAAAAAAAAAGTTTAAAAAAAAAAGTTAAAACCGACCTACCCTACCTAAGTTTTTATTCGAAGAAACCGGAAACCCACATATTTTTTTTTTTGCCTAGTACAGTACATTTACTGCGAATGTCCACAGGGCGTTGCAAAACGGTGTTTTATTAAATCAAACTCAAGTTGATGTTAGTTGAACACTATTTAGGCCAATGAAAATTGATATCATGTTTCTCGTCCACGATTTTCAAAAATTTGGAGCGGCATTTTTTCATTTTTCATTATTTTTTTATTTGAATTACTTGTCAATAATTTCCTTGACCCAGTAGAAACCCCCATAAACATCTGAAGTAAATCGGTGTATAATTCATTTTAATTTAATACGTCCTACACTACAGTATATTTATATACATACCAGGGCTGTCATGAAAAATAGAGGCATTCTGGCGAGTAATATCTTTAGAAAGATACAATTTGAGTTGCGCTTGCGGAATGCAGCAATAAGACTTTGATCTGGAGATCAATTTGGTGTTTTGTTAAGCCTATTTTTCAAAAATAATGAATAATGAAAAATTTTCGTGCGGCAGATAAATCCCATGCGGGCGGGGACGAGAAACATGATATCAATTTTCATTGGCCTTATATAGCGTTCAACTATAAATATGAAAACATCAACTTGAGTTTGATAAAATTTTTAAAAACCTACCGCTTGTTCGTTTGCAAATACTGCAGAATACAGGACATGACATGGTCCCGAAGCCAATGTGTGAACAAGAAATGCATAAACCATAGCAAGAATAAATAGTCCAAACTTCAAAATATCACATATTTTACACTCCTCTTTCGACCGCCATATTTAATCTTATGGTAATCCTCACTGTATTCCATCTTTCAAACGTCCTCCACTCAACTACGATACCTAGCGAAATTTACCGACGTTATAGCGAGTTAGCGCTGATCTCAAAATAAAGCTGGAGTATACAAGTCATTGAAGACAACTTGCATGTTAGACTAATTTTTGATTTAGGGAGAAAAAAAGTAAATTCCCGTAAAAAACTTATTAGAATCAGTAAAATTACAAAATTTGGTTACAAAATGTTGTAAAATGCAAAAAATATAGCCTTGCAAAGTTTGCATATACCATGTTTGAGCCGAAAATGGTAACAATTTCCGCACGTAATACAAATATACTGAAAATATGCAAAGGCTATATTTTCTGTATTTTACAACATTTCGCAACCAAATTTTGCAATTTTACTAATTTCATTATGTTCTTTTTAACTGTTGTGTTTGATTCCCTTCTCTTTACTTAAATTAAAATTTAGTCTGACATGCAAGTTGTGCATTCCTTGCTGCTACCTGCTGAATCAAAATTCAAGAGGGAGCAATACATTTACTAGTATTTGACACATATGTCCGACACACAAAAAAGTCTCATTCCATACAGGCTTATTAGGCCTGTTTCATACGCCATACTTCACATGTGCTGAATACATTAAAAACAATAGATAATGAGGCATTTCAGCTCATCTATCGTCTTCAATGTATGCGGCACATGTGAAGTGCGGCGTATTAAACAGGCCTTAGCACAGAATAAAGATCAATAACAGAAGGGTCACTCAGCAGTGCAATGCGTCCTTGTTTTTAATGCAAAAATATGCAGTTTCCTGGCCAGAAGGAGGAGCAGCCAGCCAGTACAGCGTCACAAAATACTACACAGAATTCCATCTCCATTGTTTTTTGCATAAGCTCTATTCGTCATGATTCGTCATGATTCGTCACTCAGCAAGTATCGCAAACAGAAGCAGCCTCCCTGGAAATACTAAAAATGGCGGGGGTGATTGCTTCTGTTTAATACGGTACTTGCTGAGTGACGAATCACGACAAATAACGCTAACGCAAAAAAAAAATGGAGATGGACTTCTGTGTAGTATTCTGTGACAGCATGTTTATTGGCCAGAAAATGTCATTGACTGGCCAGAGCAATGGCAGCCAATATGCATAATGTGAAAATTCAAAGCTTCCAATGTAAGTGGCCCTTCTCAGGCCTTCTGTATGGATATTTAGTCTGTGATATCCAGCACATTCCTATAATGAAAGTGTGTTCATAAAGTTTATATATATTATAAGTAAGTAGTCTACAATGACTTGTACATAGCATGTTATTCTATTGGTTATGTCAGTACTATAAATCACACCTGCAAACGCCATTATGCTTGTGAATTTTTTGCAGATGCAATAACATCCCACAAATAATTGGCAATGAAATGACTGCTATGTTCCTTCAAGTTCAATGAGAAAGGTCGCACATCACGAAGTGACGTTACAAAGCCTTGCAATTTATCGTCATTGGTATCATAATCCCAGCGTAACCGCGTGACATTCGAATACAAACTAAACGAGTACTTCGTTTTTGGCAATGCATCGCTTGCTTGGTGCTGAATACCGGCCTTTTCCTTTCGTAATTTTGAGCTTTCCAAATCGATTTCTCGCATGGAGTTTTCCAACGACCCGAGAGCGGCGTTTAGCTTTTCAATTCCCTCCACTTGGCTGTACTTTTCTTTCCCTAAGTTTGAGATAACTTCGTTGTTTTCTTTGTTTTCTTGCAAGCGTATCGAAGACAGTTCGCCTTCTTCCTCGCCAAGCTTCGCCAACGCTTGTTGCAAGCGTTTCACTTTCAATTGTCGCTGTTCCATCTGCTCGATACCGTTTTTCCCGCTTTCGGTCACGGTCAAAAGTTCTTTCAAATCATCACCGCTGTCTAAAACATTTGCCAATTCCTTGCTCGTTTGACAAAGCACGCCGAAAGACATGTTTTTTTTCAAAACAAAGTTGTGTACAAACAAGTCGATATTTCGAATTTTGAAAATGGCGCCCGAAATCAACAGCATTTTTTTGTTATGAGTGACGTCATCAGCTATGTGCTTCCACTTTCCACATTGATTTTCTTAGTCGTTCAATGCCGATCTCGAAGCGACACTTTACGAAGACAAAACAAGATGGCTACCGCCACTCCTATTTCCGTGGAAGAGTTTTCTCTATTAGAAAAGGAAGCCAAGAATCTTATGACAAACGGAGAGGTCGAGAAAGCTGAAACGTTGTACACAAATTTTATTGAAAGGACACAGGAGACTACAAGCGACAGAAAATTCCTTGCCCTGGCAACAAATAATCGTGGACATTTACGTTACCTAACTGTAGACTTTTATGGTGCTATTCAAGACTATACCGCCGCGATAGAACTTGATCCAAGTTTAGCGGTGTCCTACTATAATCGTGGACAAATTCACTACAGAATGGGAAGGTTTAAACTTGCAATAGATGACTTGGAGAGGGCTTTAGAGGTGGACCCAAATTTTACTGATGCTCAAGATAATTTAAGACAAGCAAGGAAAGATTTTGCTACCTAACCCAACTGACACTTACCCTTACCTTAGTAATTATAAATCTTAATCCAGATTGCAGAGTTGAGAATGCTTTCCCAAGAAAGTGCTTTTTATAAACATTCCAGACTGCTAACTTTGCTAATTGTGCACCAAATATGATTTTGTTGCCACTTGTCATAAATGTGCACTTATACACTTGTCATAGAATGCAGGGCCGGATTAAGGGGTGGGCCCGAGGGGCCCAGGCCCCCCACCAAAAGGGGGGCCCCCACCAGATCGGTTGATTTTTAAAATTATACTGTTTAAGAGAAATTCTGTGATATTTCGTACAGCATGAAATGCGTAAACTGATTATTCAAATTCTAGCTTATCTTAGCTATAAAAACTTGTCTAGCTCTTTATCGTTTGGCGATAAATTTCATATTTTTCATGCAATTGCTTCTGATGTAAATATCTCAATGAGTATTTGCCCCCCCCCCCCCCTTTAAAATGGAAACCACCTATTTCCGTTAAATATAAATAAATGCATTTTCCATTTTTTGATCTCGGGTCTGGAGCTTGATTCAACTTTAATAATTTAGAAATTTTGCAAAGAACATGGAGAGGCCCCCACCAATGTGGGCCCTGGGCCTCCCACTAGGTTAATCCGGCCCTGATAGAATGTGCAGTCAGGTGATAAGTGAGAAAATTTGCACATCACTAAATACAAACATATCAAACTTTTGAGTAGTGTTGAAAAAAGTACATTTTGTCAAAAAAATTAATACATTTTGTCAAAAATACTGTCTGTTTGAGATCTTGTTGAAAACAACTCAACTTTCTGGTCTGGAAATAGTCTTAACATTAATACTTAATTTAATTGTAACACTAGTCATAGTTCCTATTCCCCAGTCATAGCCAAGTATAGGGGTGCTATTTGTTTGGATACTGGATATGCCAGATGGTTGACAATTATTTATGGTAAAATAATGACTTTGATTGGTTATAAAGTAAGAGAAAGAACTTCACAATCTAACGTTGATAAACCTGCATAGTTGCAAAAGCCTTGCCCTCGAAGTTCAATGGTAAAATCCACTTTTTGCATTGGCAAACGAGCATGACAATATGCCAGCATAAAGTTCCCTACTTTTTTAACCATCTCAAATCATTTTTAACCTGTCCGGCCCAGATATCCAGCCAGATATGATATCCAGTCCATCCCTAGCCAAATATTATAATGATGTCGATTTGTATGCCATTGCTTGCCATTCATCAGTGCTGCCTAGCAACCAAAGTGGACATTATGCTTGGAACTTAAAAGCGTATCAGATATATACAACAAGGAAAACTCCAGAGGATTTTCTTTATGTCTCATTAAAATTTAATAAGTTGTCATTGAAAGCATTCTTCTATAGGCTATACAGGGTGTATCAAAATAAACGCAATTCATCTTTTGTGCTTAATAACTTTCGAAATACTATTTCTAGTTACACGCTTTTAGGCTTACTTCAAAGCCTGTTCTTTTCTCTTTCAAACAAACTATTATCCTTGTCTCCAATACTAGTAATAATTGCACAGGAAAAGATTTAGTAAAACCTATCATTTTTAGTTGCTGTTTAATTATGCAAGTTTACTATGTTATTGTTTAGTCGATTTAAATGTTAGAATTTTCTTCTTTAAACTTTAATGTTGTCGTCACTACATCTGGAAAACCACGTAAGAACAAATTAAAAGTATTTTAAAAGAGACCCGGTTGTTTGAAAATCCTAAACGAATGCTAAAAATCGTCAAAACATTCTGGTGTCTGAGCCAGAGTGTCATCGAATTGCGATGTAATGTAAACAGAAATTATAGCAAGTTGATGTCAGTCAGCTTAGATGGTCCAAGCCAAAATTATATCGCATTTGAAGTTTCAAACTGAGTTAAAAATAGTGGAAGAAAAGCCGTAATTATACTTATTGTTACAATCCATTTAATAAAATGCAACATTTTTTTGTTTTAATGAAAAAATCAGTTATTTTCATGAGAACGATTTGTTATTCCATCTCAATTTTTTTAATCTCCAATCGCAATAACGTAAAGTATTATTACCCGCGAACCAATGAGTCAAATTTAAGAAACAACCCACTGTTAGAAAGCTGAATGGCTACGCTTTAAAATGAATGTAAACTTTAACGTTTTCGTCTATTATTTGTTTAGCAATTTACATTTCAGTCGAGGATTGCGCTTTTTTTGATACACCCTGTATAGCTCCTGCGAATTGTTGTCAGTTTTACATACTAATTAACCAATTATTTTTATCACGTTACATCAAAATTATGAACACAATAAATTACAACTTTCTCAATTACGTTTCCATTCATTCTAGCACTTTCCTACAATTTAGGCACCATGATTAAAGCTCTTAGGGAGCGATCATTATTTATGGTGGGGGTGGCGCTGAAGAGAAAAGGTTGGGTAAACAAATTTTTGAGTGGGTAAAAGGTTGGTTTAATGAAAAACAAAACAACTCGAGGGTTGGGTAATAAAAATGTATTGTCATTTCCAAAGCATGACTCACTTAAATATGGAAGACTAAAAAGCAATGCCAATTGTCATATGTTAATACAATATTTAAATCAATATGTGAGGCACTATCAGAGTCGACATTATCTTGATCATTTTCGATTTGTCACGAGACAAATGGTGTCTCCAAAGAAAGTGCATTTGCAGACATTAAACTTTAGACTGCAGAAACTGCACAAGCAGTTATCATCATACGTGTGACAACTGAACGGTGTCCTTTTGTAAAGTTTTTGGTAGGTATTTATTTTTTAATTGATATTTCAGGTTGGGTAAAAATTATTTTGACTTTTTAATGGTTGTATCAGCAACATTTTTACCAAGAAAAACATTTCTTTTCTGCCTCCCTGTCATAAATAATGGCTGGTCCCTTACACTCCTTTTCTCATATGCAAAGGTGTTTATATTAGATCATAACTTACGTAATTTTTTATATGTTATTTATTCCTAACAAGGATTTATTTGTAATTTCTCTTTAAATTATTAAGAATGTTTTTTAAACTCTAACATACCGCGTACATATAGCGAGTGGTGTGTCACTTTCCCACTTCTCCTACACTTAATTCCCATCGAAAAATCCCAAAATCCCTACCGAAAATTTTGAAATCCTTATGATCCCAAATTCCTAGAACTTCCTATAAAATCCCTAAACATCCTACAATCTCCGAATCTTTTTCTAAATCCCTTTGGAAAGCCCAAACGCTCTTCAAAATCCTTACTGTACATCTTGCCAAAATTACCTTTAAAATTCGCTGAGAATCTCGCAAAAATCCCAAGTCCTGAGTATTTTTGCAAGGATTTTGAAAATCCTAAAAATCCCCGTACACTTTTTCAGAGTAATACACCCTTCGAAACCTTTCGATACATGCTGCAGGACGCTATATAGTAAAGACATTTATGTACAGAAAAGTAGTTACATATAAAAGGCTGACGTTTTTTAAATCGCGCACCGCTGTGTCTGTGAACATGCTAATGAGCTATTTTATTCTCAATTGTGTCAGCATGTTGAGAAATTTCTTGAAGTTCACCCTTTACAAGTTCTGCGACGTTCACATATTGAGAAGCCTCTCCCAGATTTCCCCATCGTACCACGAAAGTAAACAAAGGGAGCAATAGGATTAGGAAAACGATTTGCATGATGTCAGACAACGACAGATGTCGGGTGGCGTACGCGAAATCTGCGTAAAATACGCTAAAGAATATAATGATCACAATCGCTCCCAAAGTGGAAAAGTATATTAAACCCTGAAAAATTTGTACTGTTGAAATGCGAGAGAATATGGGACATGGTTCCTTTTTTCTCAACAAAATCCAAGTGATAATAAACAAGAGAAAACGCATCATCCTCATCAGTATGTAGGCAGCGGTGAACGTGGTGAACCAATTGTCTGCTTCGATGGCCACCATGGGGATGGGGACTCGCTTGGAAAGAACTCGATTTTGGCACCCAAGCGACGTTTAAAACAATCGACATTGCTTTCTTGCCTGACGCAGTCATAGCTGAGCTGGAAAGTGCCGACCAGCGAAACGGTTTGTAAAGTGACCGTAACCAGATACGCCGAGACAACTAACAGACCTTTCATGATGTTAAAGCCAAAGCGACCATCCTCGTTGTCGTTTTCGACAAGCCTCCCGCAAAATACATACTGTGAATTTCCATCTATTTTCCTTTTTTGAACGAGACCTTTTAACACGAGCAAAACAAAACCGTTTCTCTTCGCTCGCCATTTCCAAAGACAACCAACTAGCATAAAGAATATCACCAAGGGAGCGCATACCAGGATGACCAAGATTTTATTGTATTCCTTGAGATTCATATTCTTTCGCTATTGAAAGGCAACAATGTACATCTGATGCTCGATATATGCGAGTGAAAAGCCAAGGGTCACACGGCACAATCGCTATACGCGAAAATTACTTCCGGCGCCCACGCTACGATATTTATAATATTACAATAGTAATCTACGTGAACCAAGGGGTTGATCGCTCCATTCATACAAAATGTCAGTTTCTCCATGGCCAAAGAGGACTAGTGTGCTGTCCAAAAGGCAGAATAAGATACACTTTTAAGTTTTTTATATAATTATACTCGAGAATAGTTTACAGGAAAGTAAGTAATTTGATTTGTTTTTTTTTATTTATGTTTGATATTGATCGACCTGCATGAAGCCCAGTCCGAAGGGCGAGAGTGCATGACAGATGACAAAGATCGGTCATGGCAGTAACATATTATAAATGGACAGTCCAGCGATTTTGGTTTTAACGCTTTCGCACCTGAATTTTTGAAAATACGTGTCTCAGCCTTCATTATTTATAATCAGCCTCGTACCCAGGCGCAAATGCGTACAAAAATAGGCACAGTCCAGGGATTATTTTAAGGTGCAGTGATAACCAATTTGTGCAGTGATAAATGAGACATGTGCAGTGATAAAATGCGATATTGTTCAGTACCAGAAATTGGCGACAAAATGGCCACTGCATGCTTGTATACTAATTTGCATATAGTCCGCATACAGTGGCTTTCAGTTTTTACTGGGAATATATATAGAGTGAAAATATTTAACTCAAAATCATTGCAATCTGAGAGCTCATCTATACTGCTTGCCCGGCTCCTGATCAATTTTAATTGATTTTAATTTTAATGCTTAAAAGCATTCATATACTAATCGACTAATGTTTCGGAGGCATATTTATATTCCGATCGGGTATCTCTCCTAGCGGCCAAGTCTTGTTCAAGAATATCATTTTTATGTCACCTTCGTATGGTTATTTAAACTGCTAGCTGCCGAGCGATTTTGTTTTGAGATTTTTGACGCTGTTTAAATAGTGTAGAGTAATCTATATCACGAGTGTAAAAAACTAGATCTTGAGCAATATCGCTTGGTGTTTTGCATGCGATTCAAAAAATATTTGAAAATGTGTATATTTTTGCATGTAATAGAATATGCAGCATTCCGATTTGGGCTCATTACTCATTAGCGGTGATTTTAACTCATTTGTCTGCATATAATTAGTGGCATGCATACGGCAAACTTTAAGTTGCAGAACCAGAATACTGTATATACATGCACTTATGCAGGGCAGTCAGAACGTTTTCTGAAACGTCGCTAAAATTTATATAAATTTGATCATTTTTCGCACTTTTGTGCAGTGATAAAATTTCCTTAGAATAATCCCTGGCACACTGCAGTGTTTTTATATCGATCAGTGGCTATGATCAGCGAGCGCGCAGGGGTGCTTGGGGAGAACACGGCGGGAGTCCTACCCAAGCACCCCTTCGCGCTCGCTTATCTTAGCCACTGATCTATATAAAAACACTGTGGTGTGCCTATTTTTAGTACGTTATTTGCGCCTTGATACGAGGCTGATTTATAATAAGTATTTGTGCGTTTCTTAATATAACAGCTTTTGTAAAGTGAATCTATGCTTTTATAGTGCAATTTAATTTTGATTTAAAACAAAAAGGATGAATGAAATTTTGGCCAAAATAAGATTAAGGAAAAAAAAAGGATATTTTAACTTTCAAAAGTGGAAGTACAAATTCCTGTGTGAACAAACGAAACAGAAACAAGTTTACCACTGTGAAGTACGCATGAGATTCAACATGACATTCAACATGATATTCGATATTGTGTAAATTAACTAATTTCAATCACTCAAAAGTCAAAATGATAAATACAGCCATTTCTTCTTTCCCAAATCAATTTGGGAGAAATAAACCATGCAGGTCACATTAGCTAACTACTACCTTTATGGTTATCCGCACACAAACTTACAAACGCATTTCAAAGCACTCCAAAACGATACTTTCCTAACAGCTATCCACACTGCCAACAAATATTCAATACAATTTGCTAAGAAATTTAAACAATAAATTTCTCCGCTGCTATTCTATAGGATTTTTTAAAACTTTCATATCTCGTACAGAATTATCTCCTCTTTCCACTGGTTATTGAAACTTGGGCGGCATCAATCTATAAACAATCGAAATTCGGCCTTATACTGTACTAATATGTAAGACAACACTAATTATACATACATAGCGCGCACGCACGCACTGTCAAGAATAGCATTTTAAACTATAAATTTCACCGCTATTCTATAGCATTTTTTAAAACTTTCATATCTTGTACAGAATTATCTTCTCTTTCCACTGGTTATTTAACCTTGGGCGGCATCAATCTATAAACAATCGAAATTCGGCCTCATACTGTACTAATATGTAAGACAATACTAATTATAGATACATAGCGCGCACGCACTGTCAAGAATAGCATGTTAAACAATAAATTTCTCCGCTGCTATTCTATAGAATTTTTTAAAACTTTCATATCTTGTATAAAACTATCTCCTCTTTCCACTGGTTATTTAACATTGGGCGGCATCAATCTATAAACAATCGAAATTCGGCCTTATACTGTACGGTATTAACTGTAAGACAATACTAATTATAGATATAATATTATAGCGCGCACTCTCAAGAATAGCATTTTAAACTATAAATTTCTCCGCTGCTATTCTATAGGATTTTTCAAAACTTTCATATCTTGTATAAAATTATCTCCTCTTTCCACTGGTTATTTAACATTGGGCGGCGTCAATCTATAAACAATCGAAATTCGGCCTCATACCGTATGGTATTAACTGTAAGACAATACCCATTATAGATATATAGCGCGCACGCACTGTCAAGAATAGCATTTTAAACTAGAAATTTCTCCGCTGCTATTCGATAGGATTTTTTAAAACTTTCATATCTTGTATAAAATTATCTCCTCTTTCCACCGGTTATTTAACATTGGGCGGCATCAATCTATAAACAATCGAAATTCGGCCTCATACCGTATGGTATTAACTGTAAAGCCTGGTTTCCATTAAATCGTAATTATCGCAAGAACCGCATCGCAAGCGTCGCAACGATTTTAAAAACGCGGAAATTTTAATAAAAACTGCGATTCATTGGAAACTTGAGTCACACTGATCACTAAAGCCTGGTCTCCATTAAATCGTAATCATCGCAATAGTCGCGGAACGCAGACATCGCTATCGCAAAAATCGCAATAAGTCTATCTTTGCGACTTTGTCGTAAGAGTCTTAGTGATCGGTGTGACTCAAGTTTCCAATAAATCGCAGTTTTTATTAAAATTTCCGCGTTTTTAAAATCGTTGCGATGCTTGCGATGCGGTTCTTGCGATAATTACGATTTAATGGAAACCAGCCTTAAGACTCCTACGACAAAGTCGCAAAGATAGACTTATTGCGATTTTTGCGATAGCGATGTCTGCGTTCCGCGACTATTGCGATGATTACGATTTAATGGAAACCAGGCTTAAGACAATACCCATTATAGATATATAGCGCGCACGCACTGTCAAGAATAGCATTTTAAACTAGAAATTTCTCCGCTGCTATTCTATAGGATTTTTTAAAACTTTCATATCTTGTATAAAATTATCTCCTCTTTCCACTGGTTGTTTAACATCGGGCGGCATCAATCTATAAACAATCGAAATTCGGCCTCATACCGTATGGTATTAACTGTAAGACAATACCCATTATAGATATATAGCGCGCACGCACTGTCAAGAATAGCATTTTAAACTAGAAATTTCTCCGCTGATATTCTATAGGATTTTTTAAAACTTTCATATCTTGTGCAAAATTATCTCCTCTTTCCACTGGTTATTTAACCTTGGGCGGCATCAATCTATAAACAATCGAAATTCGGCCTCATACCGTATGGTATTAACTGTAAGACAATACCCATTATAGATATATAGCGCGCACGCACTGTCAAGAATAGCATTTTAAACTATAAATTTCTCCGCTGCTATTCTATAGGATTTTTTAAAACTTTCATATCTTGTATAAAATTATCTCCTCTTTCCACTGGTTATTTAACCTTGGGCGGCATCAATCTATAAACAATCGAAATTCGGCCTTATACTGTACTAATATGTAAGACAATACTAATTATAGATACATAGCGCGCACGCACTGTCAAGAATAGCATGTTAAACAATAAATTTCTCCGCTGCTATTCTGTAGGATTTTTTAAAACTTTCATATCTTGTATAAACTTATCTCCTCTTTCCACTGGTTATTTAACATTGGGCGGCATCAATCTATAAACAATCGAAATTCGGCCTTATACTGTACGGTATTAACTGTAAGACAATACTAATTATAGATATAATATTATAGCGCGCACTGTCAAGAATAGCATTTTAAACAATAAATTTCTCCGCTGCTATTCTATAGGATTTTTTAAAACTTTCATATCTTGTATAAAATTATCTCCTCTTTCCACTGGTTATTTAACATTGGGCGGCATCAATCTATAAACAATCGAAATTCGGCCTTATACTGTACGGTATTAACTGTAAGACAATACTAATTATAGATATAATATTATAGCGCACAC